CATCCAGTCTGAACGTAACAAGAGTTCACATTTTGGATGATACTGACAGAAGGACCAAAATCTTTATATTCACGATATTTGAGGGAGCAATATTTAAGCTACGAAGATTTAAGGGACTAATATCAAAGTAGTTATAGCGTAAGGGACTATCAGCTAAAAAACCCATACTTAAAACATATAATCAATTCCAAACAAAGCTTGTCACTTAAGGCCGGAATAATAAGGTGGGCTACTTTCTATTCAGCTTCGCCGGCCCAATACCCATAAGAACTGCGCTCAGCAGGCCGAACTAAGTCTTGGGCCCTTCAACCTTGGAATCCCAATCCTCAGCAGGCCGAACTAAGTTATTTACTATTGCCGGATATTTATAACTCCTTTATTTCCAATGCATTGTTAGGTTGTCAGGATTTTTATAAATTTTACAATCTTGAGGATTTTATCTTACAATTTATAAAAAGTTTAGAGTTTATTATAAATTTCATAAATTTTTGGGGGTTGTTTGTGTTATTTTTAAGTTTTTAGTGTGTTTATAGGTTTGAAAATTTCAATGTGTTTTTTAGAAGTTTTGAATTTTAGGAGTGTTTTTGCATTTTTTAACTTACAATATATTTTCTCCAATGTCAAAATCTTTTATTTTTTAGCTAGCATATATTTTTTAGATTTCTCACTGAATTGAAATAAGTAAAATTTATAATTTTTAATATATTTTAATAAATTTTTGAATTTGTAAGGGTGTTTTTTGCAATTTAAAAACTCAGAGAGTATTTTTTACAAGGTCCAAAAACTTTTAGGTGCTGGTTAGGATATATTTTTTTAGATTTCTCTACAAATTAAAATAACTAAAAGATTTGAATTATATCAAACATATCACCTATGTGCAATAACATGTTAAGTCTCATTATGGATAAGATAAATCATTTAATTATAAATTCAAAGAAGATAGGAAAATTAGAATAGACTAGGATAACGATATAATATTTAAAAAATTTAAGGGTAATATTGATCATGAAAATATTTTTTCCAACTCATACTTTTAAAGGGAGTATGATATGATATGATATGATCGTACTTTTAAAGGGAGTATGACATGATTTATGATTGAGAAATTGCCCCTTGAGAAACGCCCACTTTAACTAATAACCTACTGAACCTCTACCAAACGTTGAGTCTAAATTTAGAGTTGCCAATTGGTAGAAAATGGCCGTGTAAACTTAAAGAGCCTAAGTCCCTACACTGGGCCCAAATATATTTTTATTTAACTAAAGGCCGAAGTTTATCTGAATGATGAATGAGCACAAGGAGTAGTCCAAGCGGAATATGCTTCTCTTTCATTTACTTATTTATTTAATATTGGGTACTTATTTTTAGGTGATGCTGTCTCCTCTCTTACAAATGTATTAAAAGTTATCCCCGGATATTCTGTAGGAGCGATGGAATCTTCCCCTGTCTCTTTTCCTATTTAATAAATGCAAAACGAAACTTAATTTTTTATATCCATATATATATACCTCATTACATGAATTCTCAACGACCAAAAGATAAATGATTTTGATGTGATCCTGCTAAACTCTAAATATCTACAAAATTAACGGTCGATAATTTCGTGTAAGATTAACTTCCATTGACTTATGCATAAATTACCTTAGAATCATTTGATATGGGATTATATTTAGACAATACCATCTCAATACAGTTTTTTAGCTTGAAAGGAAGAATATTATATTCTGATTTATAGTATCAGCAGTAGTGATCTATCATGGTTCACATGCGTACACAAAGATATGCAAATAGAGAGGGTGAATGAGATTGATATGTTTCTTTACAGTGTTGTCCGGTGCATCGTTAACATGACACGCATGATTTTCAATATGATTCAAAAGATTAGCATACTTGATCGGTCTCCTATGATTTGAATACGTGGTACATCAATAATACATCAACCTAGATCTATCTAGAGAAACATACCAACTCTTTATCTTTCTCCGTATATTCTTTCTTTGACCTGCTATATTTTTGTTTCCATAATCTCAACAATCTCTTACTTGAAATATTGTGCTCGTCACTTTTAAAAAGAAATAAAATATTGTACCCCGGCACCATGGGAAAGTCAAGGATCAAAGACTAATTATAAAAATACAAGACTATGGTGTCAAATCTTATTTACTTTAAATTAAATAATAATAAAATTTATCTTGTGATGTATATTTTACTAAAAGAGGCAATATGCCACAGAATTATCCAAACGGCTTGGGCCACAGTAAAGAGCAAGCAGGGTAAAGGCTGGCGGCCAATGGGCTCCTTGAAAACAACCCCATGGTAAGAGTTTCTAATGCGTGCAGCCTTCAACCATTGTAAATTCACAATTTTCTTTCTTCTTTCCCATTCTCATACGAGATGAGTAAAAATAATAGTTTCGATGTAAATGATGACTTTAGATTTAATTATTTAGTCACTTACTAGGCATGTACTAGATTTGATAAATTAGTTAAGGATACTTTCATTTCGTACCTAGTTAAAAGAAAGGGTGGGTTCACCAAACCCCTCAAAAAAATGGGTGAGGACTAGTCTCGCTCTAGTTTTAGTGTAATTATTTCTTTAACTAA